GTTTTTTGAGACAGAGTCTCACTATGTTGCCCTCAGTAGAATACCGTGGAGTCACAACTCACAACCTCAAACTCTTGGGCTTCAGCAATTCTCTTGCCTCAGCCTCCCAAGTAGCTGGTACTACAGGCGCCCACCACAATACCTGGCTATTTTGTTGTTGTTTTAGTTGTCACTGTTGTTTGGCAGGCCCAGCCTGGGTTCAAACCCGCCATCTCTGGTGTATGTGGCTGGTGCCCTAGCTGCTGAGCTACAGGGGCTGAGCCTATACAAATGGTTTATTGGGAGGCTCTACGGGAAATCTTGGGAAACCCAAAGGCAGGAAGTTCAGCCAGGCTTCTGGGTACTGCATCGTATAATTTATCTATTTTGTTCTAAGGCCTGGTTGTTTCTCTCCCTGACATCGTGGCCATTTCAGATGGCCACTCTCTCACTTTGGCACCCATTGACAGCTAACTTAGTCTCTCTGTTCCCCCTAATTCCAAATTCCCAGGACCCTGATTAGCTTCAGCTTATGTCTTGGGACAGGAAGAACTGGGTAAACCAAGAGGGGAAGGAGACAACGGCCTTTTTCTCTGGCCTTTTTGTGCCAGACCCTAAGGGGCACATGGGAGGCAGACATGGCCCCTGCCCTCAAGGACCTGCAGTCCAGAGGGCCAGGTGCCCTGCCTGGGATTTCTCAGCCCCACAACTAGAGAAAACTGTAGGCCTGGATCATGAAGAAAGGGCAGCAGCTATGGCCTTGGCCCAAGTGCTCTCCCAGGAATAATGGCTACGTTCCTATCTCCCTAGGTAAGCTAGGAGGCAGCCAGCCCATCAGGAGGGGGGGGCAACCTTTTTTGCAACCCTCAGGAAAAAAATAGTTCGGGGCCCACCTTTTTAAAATTATTATTGAGGTAAAATATACATAAAATTTGCTGTCTTAACCATTTTTAAGTGTATAGTTTGGTGGCATTATATATATTTATGACGTTGGGCAATCATCCTCGCCATCCTACTCCAGAACTCTTTCTATCTTATAAAACTAAACTCTGTCCCCATTAAACACTAACTCCCCGTTTTCCCTCCCACCAGCTCCTGCACCCATCATTCTACTTGTTTGTACCTATAACTTCTCTAAGGACCTCATATATGTGGGGAAATATTGCAGTAGACCTCCATAGTTGACCATCTCCCTACATGGACCACCTCCTCAAGTTGAGCTTTTTTTTTTTTTTTTTTTGGAGACAGAGTCTCATTTTTCACCCTTGGGAGAGTGCCATGGCATCACAGCTCACAGCAACCTCAAACTCTTGGGCTCAGGAGACTCTCTTGCCTCAGCCTCCCAAGTAGCTGGGACTAGCAGGGCTGGTTGTTTCTCTCCCTGACATTGTGTCACCCACCACAATGCCTGGCTATTGTTATAGACAAGGTCTGGCTCTGGCTCAGGCTAGTTTTGAACACATGAGCTCAGGCAATCCATCCGCCTCAGCCTCCCAGAATGCTAGGATTACAGGCGTGAGCCACCATGCCTGGCCTTCAAGCTGACCTATTTTCACAGACCAGATATGACCCACATGTACCTATCAGGATAGTAGACCTACTTCCTTATGTTAACCACTTCCCCCGGTTGACCAGTTTGTTACAGTCCCTTGGGTGGTCAGCTTAATAGAGGTTCTACTGTATTTGTCTTTTTGTGACTTTTTTCACTTAGCATGATGGCTTCAAGGTTCATCCATGTTGCAGCATGTGTCATAATTTCATTCCTTTTTAAAAAAAAATTTTTTTGTAGAGGGCGGTGCCTGTTGCTCAGTGAGTAGGGTGCCAGCCCCATATACTGAGGGTGGTGGGTTCAAACCCAGCCCTGGCCAAACTGCAACAAAAAAATAGCCAGGTGTTGTGGCAGGCACCTGTAGTCCCAGCTGAGGCAGGAGAATCGCCTAAGCCCAGGAGCTGGAGGTTGCTGTAAGCTGTGATGCCATAGCACTCTACTGAGGGCAAGAAAGTGGGCAAAAAAATTTTTTTTGTAGAGACAGGGTCTCACCACATTGCCTAAGCTAATCTCAGACCCCTGGCCTCAAGCACCTCAGGCTCCCACCCACCCACCACAGGCTCCCTGAGGGCTGAAATTACAGTCATGAGCCATTGCACCCAACCTCCATCCTTTTTAAGGATGAATAATATTCCATTGGATGATAGACCACATTTTTTTTTTTTTTTTGAGACAGAGTCTCACTCTATTGCCCTCAGTAGAATGTCATGGTGTCACAGCTCACAGCAAACTCAAACTCCTGGGCTTAGGCGATTCTCTTGCCTAAGCCTCCTGAGTATCTGGGACTACAGGCACCCGCCATAATGCCCAGCTATTTTGTTGTTGTTGTTGCAGTTTGGCCTGGGCCAGGTTCAAACCTGCCACCCTCAGTATATGGGGCTGGCGCCCTACCCACTGAGCCACAGGCACCTCATTTTGATTATCCATCCATTCATTGATGGACACCCAGGTTACTTCCAAGTTCTAGCTATTATGAATAATGCTGCTATGAACATCGGTATGCCAACATCTCTTTGAGATACTGCCTCTAATTCTTTTGGATGTATACCAGAAGTATAATTGCTGCATCATATGGTAATTCTATTTTTAACTGTGTGAGTAATCACCATACTATTTTCCATAGCAACTGTACCATTTTACATCCCCACCAACAGCACACAAGGGTTCCCTGGAACAGTAGAGGAGCCACTGCTTCTCATCTTTTTGAAGTCATCCATCTCTCCTCTTCTGAGTGAACAAATATTGAAAGAATATCATGTCCCTAGCACAGTGGTTAGGGCACTGGCCACATGCACTGGGGCTGATGGGTTTGAACCTGGCCTAGTCCTGCTAAACACAAGGATAACAACAAAAAAAATAGCTGAGCATTGTGACAGATGCCTATAGTACCAGCTACTTGGGAGGCTGAGGCAAGGCAATCAGTTAAGCCCAAGAGTTTGAGGTTTCTGTGAGCTGTGATGCCACAGCATTCTACCAAGGGCAATAGAGTGAGATTCTTTCTCAAAAAAAAAAAAAAAGAATACCATGTCTCCATGTGGCCCCAGCCTGCACCCCAAGCCAGCTACCCAAGCATTAGCCAAGCTACCAAGCTTGAGAGCTCTGGGTAGTTGGTTACTTGGAGCCACCCTCAAGTGTGTACCGAACTTGGCAGGGGGCGTTTTCTTTAGAGTGGTCTATTTCATGATCACAAAATGGCTGCTGGAACTCCAGCCATCACAGACAACTCCTCCTGCCCCTTTCGCAAGAGAACAATGAAGACCTCTTTATTTGGTCTCTTTTTAGAAGCAGGAAGACCATTCTCACACTTCACTAGCCAAAATTGGGCCACACAGCCATTCTTTGGCAGCTAAAGTTAACTCATTCCCTACAAATCTGTAACAGCAAAACTGACTGAATCTGACTACTTAGAATGGATGGATGTTGGGCAACCAGCCATAAACTCTGGCCTGAGTAACCCCCTTGAGAGTCACCCTCTACCATGAGTGGCTTCTTAGAATATTCCTCTGACTACATTCATATCCTCCCTAGACGTGTGCTCTGAACTCCTCCACTGGGTCAAGTGCAAAAACTGACATATTAGCAGGTGGATGTACAACATTTTGGTATTGACCGACTTTTCTACCTCTCCACCCTTCAGCAGGCTCAATAGAAACATTACTGCAGGGAAGAGCATCTCCGTGGAGCTGTCTCTCTATTTTCCTCCCTCTGTGCTCCATGCCTTGTGGTGGCTGTGGTCATGAATGCCACAGGCAGCACCCTGACTCAGCCTGTGTGAGGAGCCACTTCCGCAGCCCCCATCTGTCAGCTATGGTCCCATGAGAGATGGAAGAATTACTCAGCATACACTGGATGCTCCCAAGTGGCATGATTCCCTGGCCTTAATGTTTTTCATTTCTTGAACTTGAACATGGGGACTGTAGGTTGCCCATCCTCAGCCACGTCTTCCTAAATTTGCATTTTTTTTTTTTTTTGAGACGGAGCCTCAAGCTATCCCCCTGGGTGGTGTGCCATGGCATCACGCTCACAGCAACCTCCAACTCCTGGGCTCAAGCGAGTCTCCTGCCTCAGCCTCCCAAGTAGCTGGGACTACAGGCGCCCACCACAACGCCTGGCCATTTTTTGGTTGCAGCCATCATTGTTGTTTGGCGGGCCCGGGCTGGGGATTCGAACCCACCACCTTAGGTGTATGTGGCTGGCGCCTTAGCCGCTTGAGCCACAGGTGCCGAGCCCTAAATGTGCATTTTTTACAGACTAATTGGGGAGACCTGTAACCCAAGTTCTAAGTCTACATTAGGAAGACCTAGGACAAAGTCCCTCATGTTGGGCCACCTTGGGTCAGCTCCTACCCATTTGTGAGCCCCGTTAGCCCAGCAAACTGACTCCATCAGTCTGAGAGGGCAGGTACTTTAAATAAGCACTGCTACCACCCACCAGGTGCTCCTGGAAGACATTAGTAATCAATCACAGGATCTTTTTTTTTTTTCTCTGTGATCTCTAAATTCACTCTGGGCTCCCAACCAGCCTCCATGAACTGGACAGTGAACAGAGCCAGGATTTGACTATTGCAGTTACTACTAACTTCCCTCCCAATTCTCAGGTGTCAGCCACAGTTAACATTCAAATCTTCATCTTTCCTCTCCGTTCTCACTCTACAAAATTCTGTGCTCCATTTTCCCTCATGTTCCTCCTGAAGGCCCTGTCATACCATAGGATTCCAGAGTTGACATTGCTGCTCTGATATTGTCCAGCTGTGTGACCTTGGCAAATTTCAATACCCTGAGCCTCTCTTTCTTCATCTGTAAAATGGGTCCAGGACCTCTCTGAAGAGGTTGTGAGAATATGCCTGACAGAACATCTGGCATGGGGGACCACACACTAGTCATGTTTCTATGGGACCTGCCCTGGGCTGTGCCAGGCAAATTGACTGAGAATTTTGATGGGGGAAAATGGGGGAAATGACACAATCAGCCAGTACTCAACACACTTTTATTTTAGCTCTTGCATCCCCCTCACAGGCCACCTGATGTCTCTTTTCCTACCCAAGCCTGGAGGCACCCTGACCTCATCTTGTGCTTTAGTAGTGGAAACGTTACCCACCACTGTCTCCCAGGAGACCAGGACCCCGGTACCTTAAGAGTTTGTAAACCTACATCAGTACTGGGTTTCACACTTCACCCCACCTGATGAGTCTACCAGAATATGGGCTCTGGGCAGCCCCTAATACTCCTCCAAAATCTGTGGACAAGAGCCACCACCCTCACCCACACCCCTCAAGATTCTGGAAGGCAAGGAAGGGGAAAACGTACCAAGACCCCAGATGCACCTGCCAGAGGGAGGATCAGGTGAGATCCCCTCTCAAGATACCTTGGCCTCTCCAAGCTGTGCTTCTCCAGCCAAGGCTACCCCTCTCCCCCAGGACAGTGCCTGCTGCCCCTCCACCCTAGCCTATCTCAGAGCCAGGGCCCCCATCCCTTCCTACCAGCCAACAGGAAACAAAAGCTTTGTTGCCAGAAAATATATATACCCTAGGTGTTTAAAAATAAAATTCCAGCTGAAGCCCCAGCCCACCAAGCCAGCAGTGAGCTGGACAGGCCTCGATTACTGACAGGTACCCCCTGCTCTGCCCTGCCATCTGTCCCCAAACCCCAGAGTCTCCAAAGACAGAAAGAAGGGGCAGCAGGACTTTGTCCGTCACCAAAAGGCAGACTTCAGGGAAATAAAGGTGGGATTAAAGTGTCCTTGGGAGATCCCCATGTAGGGCCCCGAGGACTGTAAACATGACCCAAACTGAAGGCTGAAGCCCCAGGTTCTTCCTGGGTGAATAGTGGGCACTGTGGTGAGAAGGGTAACCCAGCCATCAGCTTCAGGCCAGCTGGGACCCTGAATCCCCCTGAGCTGAGCTCTGAAGAGGGTGGCTGTCTAGCGCTAGAGGAAAGGGGGCTGGAAGCCAAATACAGCTTTGTAGCTGCTTTTTCTCTGCCACCAGGTCAGCACCTGGGCCCTTCCTGGGCAGTGAGTCAGCTGTGGCCTTCCCTCCCTGGATGAACCTGCTGGAAAGTCAGCTCAGGCCACAACTGCCCAGCCCAGGACTGGAGGTCAAGTAGCTCCTGAGGGACCCCGCCCAAGGTTTAGGGCAGAAGAGCTGGCTCCCTGGGGGAACAAGACTAAAGGAGGCATTCAAGGAGTGTCAGGAGAGCCAGGTGAAGGCCACCAGAGACAAACAGGGCCCAAGGCCAAGAAGCCACTGCCATGCCAGCAGCACCAACTCAAGGCCTGGCAAAAGGCCGGGGCAAAGTCCTCCCCTCAGCCCGCCCCTGGCCAAGAGCCCTGGGGACCAGGTGATCTCACCCTACCGGTCACACCTGCTTCCCTGTTCTCAGCCCCCTGAGCTGCCTTCTGCACCTGGTGCTTCTGGAAGCCTTGAAACCTGCAGGCTGACCTGGCCACTCCAGAGCAAAATCAGGCGCTGGTGTGGTGAACCATGGCCAAGCCCCTCTGTCCATGTCTAGGGCCCAGTTGGGAGCCACCAGGTGCTGACCAGACACTGGCTTGCCTTTCAGGCTGTGATTTGTCATCAGGTCCCAGGGACCATCTGAGCCCAGTGAAGCCTGTTGCCAGCAAGAGGCCCCTGCTGGGTAGTTCCCACCAGCCCTGTGGCTGGAGTTTTCTGGAGACCACAAGCTTCAGGAGGCTCAGCCGTGGCCTAGATTTTGCTTAGAGTCAGACACGATGGCCCCAGTGGGCTCACTCAGAATCCAGCATGTTCTCAGCACTTGAGAACTAGTAACCAGGCACTTAGAGCCTGCAGGGCTGGCCTTGATCACCGTGATCTCAGAACCAAGCCCGTAGTCAGAGCAAGGCCTGGGGCTTGTGTTCCCGTAAGGCAGGAGCCTTAGTGACCTTCGGTGGCCCAGGACAGGCCCTGGCACCGATCAGGCTGGGCCCGGCTGGTGAGCCACCGACTGCGCAGTGCCCGGATCTCCTGGCCATACCACTCGTGCAGTTGAGCGAAGGGGGCAGCGTCTAGAGGCCCATGGGGCGCAGAGGCCCGGCGACGGGGTGGTGGGGGCGGGGGCTCGGAGCCAGACAGTGCAGCAGAGGCCACTGGGGCCTCGGTGCTCCACACAGCACAGCCATTCTCCTTGGGCGGGAGGGCACTGGGCCGGCGGGGCAGCGGCGGGGGCGGGCAGGCCCCAGCGCGCACGGCTGCCAGCTGCTGCTCTAGCTCGCGCACCACCAGCCGCAGGTAGTCAAAGCTGGCCCGCGACAGAGCCTTCACCCAGCCCTCCATGGCGGCCTGGCTCTCAGCCGCCAGCACATAGGTGCGGGCCCGGGTCCCCGCAAAGCGCACTGCGAAGGCAAACTCCTCGGCGGCCTCCACCAGCTCCACGGTGCAGCCCTCCAGGATGATGACGCCCACCGGCTCGCGGCTGGCCGCGTCCTCAAAGTAGAAGAGCATGTTGCCGCGCAGCACGAACCAGCGACGGTGGTAGGCAGCGTGCCGCCCGCCCTTCTTGTACAGGAAGCCCGCGTTGTCCACAGGCGCATCGCAAGTGGCGTAGAAGGCCAGGCTGCGTTCGTTCAGCTTCATGGCGGCAAGCTGGGGGCCTGGATGGGGGTCTGGGGCCTAACCCCCCACCAGAGCAGTTGTTATTCATAAGGCCACCGACAGCAGGTCACCCAGCACCTCATAGTAACCTGGCCACCACCCTCAGCTGCTGTAGTATTCAACATCCCCACTTCACACATGAGGAAACTGAGGCTCACAGAGTAGAAGCAGCCTGCCTAAGCTCACACAGCTCCTAAGGAGCAGGGACAGGACTTGAACCCAGCTCTTACTGGCCCCCCAAACCAACTTCATAACCCTCCTGCTGTCCTATACCCCCAAAATAATGTTGGGAATTCCTGCGGTGTGCCAGACATTTTATGTATTATATATTAACTCTTTTGATCTTGTAGCAAACCTTCAGTGACAGGGACTAGCATTGCTCCCATTTGACAGATGAGGAAACAGAGAGGCATAGAGAGGCACAGAGAGGTTCGGTTCTCACCCAAAGTCACAAAGTGAGTTGGGCAAGGCTTAAATTCAAACCCAAGCCTCATTTCTAGAGCCTTGGTCAACAGCCTTGATGGCCGTTTCCATCATCCCAAGAACAAGACCAGTTGACCTTCATAGTCCCTCCAGTTTCTAGCCCTGAGTTTGTGACTCAGCCTTGGTTTGTCCACCCATGAAATAAGGACACAAACAGAACCTCCTTCAGAGAGTTTCAGGGACTTATTTCATTAATGAAATACTTATTAAGCAAGTACCTATTCCATGCCAGACATTGTTCTAGGACTAGGCATATGGCAATAAACAAGAGGGACAGGGTCCCTACCCTCATGGTTCCCACACACTAGTGGCAAGGGGTGAAGAGAAAGACAATTAACAAACAGATAAAATGTCTGCCAGATGGTCTTATGTGCTATGGGAAAAAATAAGACAAGGAAGGGAGTTGGGAGTGTTGGGGACAGGAAGGGAATTGATTTAACAGGGTGGTCGGGGAAGATGATATGTGAGCAAGGGGAAGTGAGCGAGGGAGGCATGGGGGCCAGCTGGGGAAGGGTATGCCAGGCAGCAGGAACAGCAGGTGCAAAGGCCCTGGGGTGAGAAGCTGTAGGTATGCTGGAGAACTGGCCAGGAGGCCAATAGGGCTAAAGCAGAAAGAAGCAGGGGAGAAGAGAGGAACACAGAGAGGCAGAGGCAACTGTTATGAAATAATCTGACTGAAGATGCAAGCCCAGGGCTAGGCTGACTTATAGACAAGGAGCAGGGACTATCATGGACAACACAGATGGTTCTAATACCATCTGTGCACTGGCCACAGTAATTTCATCCACCCTCCCCAAGGGGTAGGTACTTGATGGGGGGGCAACACTGACCAGGTAGGACTTATCAGGAGGTGGTCTCCAGACTGACGATAGCTCCCTTTGAAGTTTTCCATGGCCATTTTGAGGTCCCACCTCATGCCCCCACTACACAACCTCATCCTGCATAGGATGGTAGGTATATATTCTACGAAATGAAGCATAGGCATGGTGGCTCACACCTATAATCCTACCACTCTGGGAGGCCAAGGCAAGTAGACTGCTTGAACTTAGAGACCAGCCTGAACAAAGCAAGACCTCCATCTCTACTAAAAATAGAAAAACTAGGCTCGGCGCCTATAGCTCAACTGGCTAAGGCGCCAGCCACGTACACCTAAGGTGGCGGATTCGAATCCCCAGCCCGGACCCGCCAAACAACAATGACGGCTGCAACCAAAAAATAGCCGGGCGTTGTGGCCGGCGCCTGTGGTCCCAGCTACTTGGGAGGCGGAGGCAGGAGACTCGCTTGAGCCCAAGAGTTGGAGGTTGCTGTGAACTGTAATGCCACGGCACTCTACCCAGGGGGACAGCTTAAGGCTCTGTGTCAAAAAAAAAAAAAAAAAATATATAGAAAAACTAGCCAGCCATAGTGGTGGGCACCTAACTAGCTATTTGGGAGGCTGAGGCAAAAGGATTGTTCAAGCCCAAGTTTGAGATTGCTGTAAACTGACACCATGGCATTCTACCCAGGGTGACTAAGACTCTGTCTCAAAAAAAAAAAAACTATATAAAGTCCCTAGAATGCAGTAAGTACTTAATTAATGTTCATTCCTATCCCAGGGTGGTACCTTACTTGGGCTCCAGAGGAATGAGATCTGGGTGGTGGCTCTCCTCAGAGCAACTGACCACTCCTGATCTATAGTGGAAGAGGCAATTACTCTCAGCCAAATCCTCAGTTTCCTTGCCACCTCATATCATCCACTTAAGCCATCAGGGGAGGCTTCCTGGAAGAGGCAACATGAGCTATAATCTAGAAACTGAGATCAGTTTGTCCTGACCTAGTGGTGGAGTCAAAGCCTGATCTGAAGGTGTTTTAACCCCTACTTTGCCTCTCAGACATGGGCTGTCCCTTTCTGAGCCTCAGTTTCTCTTCCTGCAAAATGTTATTCATGAATTCTCTACTACCACACCCCCAAACAATTCCCACGTGGACCCTGGCCCCATTTCTCATAAGAATCACCTGCCCTGCTCATCCTGTTTCTCTCCTATTTCTTAGGCCACTACTCACCTCCCTGCCCTCTGCCTAGCTCTGCTCTTAGCTCACTCTTCTCTGGGTTCAGATGACAGCTCTACAGGTCCAGGCTGGGTGATCCTGGGCAAACTATTAGCCTCTCTGGGCCTCTGTTTCTGCATCTGTAAAATAAGATCATAACAGCACCTAAGTCAGGATTGTTGTAGTAAAACAGTGACCACATGGAAAGCACAGTGCACGGGCCTGGGCACACGGTACATGCTCAACAGTGGCAGCTGCTTACATTTTTCTTGGCCTCCCCAAATGCTCCTTTCCAGTGTGTACTATCTCAGCAAATGGCCCTTGGTTTTCCTGTCACCCCCACACCTGATCACCAAGTCCAGTTGATCCCCGTCCAGCCTCTCCCAAACCAGTACTCAACCTTGTCTACTCCCATTCTGGCCCCTGGCCCCCACCTGCTGGGCAGGCTATAGCCTCTTTGCCTCCTCCACCCGGCCCCTCACCTGGGCACACTGAAATCTCTCCACTGTTTGATCCAATAATGCCCCTCCTCTGCTCTAAACCCTTCCATGGCTCCTCACTTCTCTCAACATAAAATTCAGTCCTCTGCATGGCTTCCAACTTCCCTTTCCCTACCTACCTCTTTCCTCCTTGCTCACTCTGCATTAGCCACGCTGGCCTCCTCTCAGTTCCTTGAATACACCAGGCACATTACTGTCTGATCCTTTCCTCTCAGCTTGGCAAGAGACTCGCTAGTCACTCGCCTATTCTTTTAACTGGGTCTTCTTTTCTAATTATCTGGGTCACTTTTGCCTGCTCTAGGAGGGCAGGGGTCTTTTTGATCTGAATTCCAGTGTCTGGCTTGTAGTAAGTGCTCAAATACCTGCAAAATGAATGAAATGAATCCATGTTATCTTCTTAAACCTCTCAACAGCCCCCTAACAAAGGGTTTATTCCCCTTTCCATTCGTGTGGAAACTGAGGCCCAAAAGCACAGTGCTATGCCCAGAATCACATACTCTGGGCAAATAACCCCAATGGGGGACTGACTTGAGGGTCTCTCCACCCCATTAAGATCTAAGGAAGAGCAACTTCCCTCATGTTCAGCAGCCCTCCCCACCGCCCAGATGGGGCCATACTGGTCCAAGGTCACCAGGCCAAACAAGACCCTTTTCTGCTCCTAGCCCCTGCCACCTCCAGCCAGCAAGAAAAAGGAGGGCAGGAAGCTGCAGGGGCCCAGGCTCCAGTCTAGAGGGAAGGCTTGGTCCCTGGCTTATCTCCCCATGCTGTTTTCCAAGAAGTTCAGAGTCCACTATGGGCGCTGCTGCTGATTCAACAGCCTATGACCAGGCAGGAGACTGGAGAAAGCCTGGCTCCCCTCTGCTCCCAGGGCCAAGTTCTTGCATCCACCAGTCCAGGCTGGAGGTCCTTGGGCAAGTCATTTCATTTTCCAAGCTTCAGGTGCCTCATCTGTTAAGTGAGGCCATGGAAAAGTTTCAGTGAGCTAAATAAATTAAGGAAAAACTGCTGGCAAAGTATAGGAAAGGCATTTTACAAGTATTAGCTGCTGTGAGTCGAGGTTTTCATCGCCTTATCTATAAAATGGGAACTTTAATATCCATCCTTCTGGGAAGGGTTGAATCAATTAATCCTGAAAAGTTACTCTGCAAAAACCCAGACTGGGGGAACCGAGGCATGGCCTTTTGGCACTCACTTCAAGGACAAAAGTGAGAACGGCAGCTTCTGGGGTTGAATCTAGCTACCCTGAGCGTCCCCCAGCAGTGGGCGTGGGTGTGGCAGGCACAGGCTGCAAAACGTGTGCCAAGAACACTGAAGAGCCTCCTGCCCAGCTCCGCCCCATCAAGGACCACAGGGCTCCAGAACGTCCTCCTCCTCCAGCACAGGCACCCCCTTGCCCATTGCAGAGGCTAATCCTCCAGGTGTGGCCCTGCTCCTAGCTGCCCTCTGTCCCTTTGTGTGTCCTGCGTAGGAGCGCTCTTGAGTTCCGTCAAGGAAGCCAGAGCCGCAGATGGAGCGGTCAACGGCAGAATGGGGGTCCCAGCAGAGGGCTGGTCCGCAGGGTGCCCCCTCCAGCGGCGGATGCCCCTTTCAGGGTCTGGGAGGTCATCAGCCAAGTTCACCCCGACACTGGGGAAACTGCTACTGGCGAGTAATCTCTGATGGGCAGATGCCCAGCAGCGTGCTCTCCAGGCGGTCGGGGCTCCCCGAGGCCCACGGCGACCCGACCCCAGTCCTGCGTCCCCTCGGAGGTCCATCCACAGGTTCCCCCGCCAGGGCGGCCTTACCTAGCTGTGCAAGCCTAGGGCGGCGGCGGCACTGGAGGCGCAGGGCCGGGGGGCGGCCGGGCCATGGCCCCGGACCCACCCGCTCCGTGGCCGCGGCGCTTTGTCTCCCGGGGCGGCCAAGCGGGCGCAGCCGCGGGAGAGCGCTGGCTTGGACGCAAGGAGGCGGGGACAGCAGGACAGTCGTCCATCAGCGGGAGCACCCCTTTAACCCTTCCCACCCGGCCGGCCCCTGCGTTCTTGCCGACCCGGGATTGGCCGGCCCCTACTCGGTACGCCCCCGGATTCGCCACGCCCCCGTGAGTCCGCTCCCGAAAACACTCTTAAAGGAACCGCGACTGGTTCACTACTCCCCGGTGCCCTGTCCGAGAAAAGAAGACTTCGAACCCTGAAAGCTCCTTGCGGTTCCAAAGGTAAGAAAGAACAGGCCATGGATTCGCCTGGAAAAAGCCCTGGGGCCCCGGGCGGGCCACTCAACTGAAGTTGTAGGCTTGGAGTCTAAGCTCTCTCCGGCTGGAGTTGCCAGATTTGGCAAATTCAAAACGACTGATTAAATTTGAAAGATATCTCTAGCTACTGAAAATGCGTGATTTATTGAAAAGCTAAATACAGGCTGTCCATAAAGTTCTTCTGCAAATTTAAAATAGTTTTACATCGTAAATTGCACACAAACTATAGGACATTTCAAGTGTCCTGACAAAGTCAACCCAGGACCTTTCTAAATGTACAGGATGCCTGGCAGTCTTACCTACCCTTTGCCCCAAATGAAGGCAGAAAGTTCTACAGTTGGGCTGACTTGGGTTCAAGTCACACTGCGTGACCTTAGTGAAATCATTTCACTTCTCTAGGCCTCCATTTCCTCATCTGTCAAATAGAGACAATCATAGTGATAGGTTTAGAAACGTTTAGCTGCTCAAGGGACAAGAGAAGAATTTCTCTAGGCCACGATTAGAATATAAAAGTATAAGTTTATTGTTATGTATATGTATGTATATTTTTGTTTGTTTGTTTGTTTGTTGAGACAGAGTCTTACTGTGTTGCTCAGTAGAGAGCTATGGCGTCACAGCTCACAGCAACCTCAAACTCTTGGGCTTAAGCAGTTCTCTTGCCTCAGCCTTCCAAGTAGCTGGGAGTACAGGTGCCCAACACAACGCCTGGTATTTTGTTGTTGTTGTTGTTGTCATTGTTGTTTAGCAGGCCTGGGCTGGGTTCAAACCCGCCAGCCCTGGTGCATGTGGTCAGCACCCTAACCACTGAGCTACGTGTACTAAGCCACATAAAGTATAAGTTTATTGTATATTAGAGAAAGGGAAGAGAGTGGAGAGGGGAGAGATAAGAGAGAGAGAAGAAATCAGAGAAGAAGGAGTGAGAGAAGGGAAGATGGGGAAAGAGGGAGAAAAAAAAGCAAGAGAATGACATGGCATCCCAAATAAAGAAAGAAAGAATACTGCCCTTGAGGTCTATTGGGTAGCTGAATTTAAAGGGCGGGCAGGTGGAGGGATGGGGGTGGTTGTGGAGGGGGATGAGGCAATTGCAGCTAAATTCACAAGGTATTGTGGTATTGTGAAGGTGAATAATGTGTCTGTTTTTCCTCAGACAAGGTTGCAGGCAGACATGTTCCAGGTGTTTCCAGTCCTGAGGCCTGATTGTTCATCTGCCAGGGACACTCAGGAATCACTGAGGCTTAAGGGAACAAATTCTTTTTTTTTTTT